GCTTTCTGTGGTCCCAAAGAACAAAAACTCAAAAACCCACACAGATATTGTCGCTCCCCCTCTTCGCGGAGGAACGACACTAAGCCCTGCCTAGGCTTCATATCCGAGTCACGGCACCATTATGTCACTCCCCCTCTTCATGGAGGAACGACACAGGACCCTGCGCTGTTCTTTTGCCTGCTTGGCCCTCCCCGGGTTTGCTGCTGGTTCTTCCCGGGTTGGCTACCGTCCCTTCCACCTCCGTGGAAGGGCGGTTCCCCCTGGCCACTTTCCCCACTTCCGCAGGGGAGCGGCACACCGCCAGCCGGCTCTCTCGGGGGCTGCACAGGTGTTCCTCTTAGATGTTCCTGGTGCATGTTGTCTCTCTCCTCCTTTATAGTCCTCTTCCACCAATCCCAACTCTGCTACCCACACGCCGAGTACGCTGCTCTCCTCCAATCAGGAGCAGGTCCTACAGTTTATTGGTTGAACTGGAGGCAGCTATGTAGAGGCTGTTTCTCCCTTCTCAGCGCCATATTGTGGGAGAGCAGATGCATAGAATAAGTCTTAATTCCAGTAACTTAGTCTAGTCCGAGTTGCTCCCCACAGATATGAGTACACTTTAAAAAGTTAATAGAAAATGAATTGATAGTTTTCTATTGGTACAAAAATTTTTGAAATTCTTGCCTACAAAATCCATACAAACTTAAAAAATTCATGAAAATGCATATTATAAAAAATTATGTATTGATTTTAAAATCACTTTGTCCCAAATAAATTTCTTTTAATTCCATTTTCCACAAACTTTTTGAAGTGTTCATGTTTGTGTATACATGCATGTGTGTGTACCCCATTTTTCTATTTTTTTTTGAAAAAGGGCAATGACCATTTTATAAATATCATGTATGGCCGAAAAGAAACTCTCTGGGCTGTGAGAATGAGAAATCAGGAATTGAAGTATCTCTGTCTTTTGGAGGCCACCTGGTCTTGTGTTTCTTTTTTTCTTTTTTTAAAGATTTATTTATTTATTTATTTGAAAGGCAGAGGTACAGAGAGGCAGAAGCAGAGAGAGGGAGAGAGAGGTCTTCCATCTGCTGGGTCACTTCCCAAATGGCCGCAATGTCTGTCTGGAGCTGTGCCGATCTAAAACCAGGAGCCAGGAGCTTCTTATGGGTCTCTCTTGCGGGTGCAGGGGTTCAAGCACTTGGGCCATGTTCAGCTGCTTTCCCAGGCCATAGCAGAGAGCTGGATTGGAAGTGGAGCAGCCGGGACTCAAACCAGTGCTCCTATGGGTTGCCATGGCGTCAGCCTCCTGGTCTTGTGTTTCTGTCTTTCTGGGTATATCCCTCCATTTCCCTTTGCAGTTTGGCTTCCTCTGTCTATTCCCAGATGTTTCTTACCTGCGAACATTGCTTAACGCTCCATAACCACAGCAGTTTGTATATCTCAGTATAGAGAATAAATCCGATTGGCTAAGCCAGGTCTGTGACTTGCTTCTCTTGGGGTGATGAGCCTTTTGCTGTCCAGTTGGCAATGGCTGAACAGAGATTGTGGTGGATTTAGGCAGAATCGAAAGCGGTGTTTTCAAAGATTCTTAGGCAGGTCTGATTGAGGCAAAAGGGGAAGTTACATGTGGAAGAAAACTGACATAGTATGCATCACACCCAGTAATGCTGATAATTGAGATTTTAAATATGCACAAATTTTAATTAAGAAGTAATATTATATCAAAGAAAGTTTGGAAAATCATTCAAAGGTTAAACAACAAAATCATCCATAATCACATTATCAAAAATCCAATATAGACATTTTGGTTTATTTCTATGTGTAGATCTCAAAATGTTTTATTTAATATGAGCAAATCTCAAAAGAAGAATGAACAGATCAATCTCTTTATTAATTGTGGATTAAAATGAATTCGAAAAAATTTAAGTAAAACATTTTAAGAAAGACTTAAAGTATGCATAGTCTTTTAAAAAATTATTTCTTTATTTGAAAGGCAGAGAGACAGAGAGAAAGAGAGAGAGAAAGGGAGAAATATCTATTTACTGGTTCACTCCCTAAATGGCTGCAATAACCAGGGCTGGGCCAGGACAAAGCCAGGAGCCCAGAGCACCATTCATGTCTCCCACGTGGCTGGCAGGGACACAAGTACTTGGGCCATCATCCGTGGTTTTCTCAGGAGCATTAACAGGAAGTTAGATTAGACGTGGAGCAGTGGGGACTTGATGCTGGTGTTGTAAGTGGCTGCTTAACCCTCTGTATTGCAATAGGAGTTCACATGCAGGGTCTTTGATCCAGAGCTTTTTTATTTAATAATGTAATTGAGAAAGTCTCAGAGATGTGTACAAAGATGTATGTTTAAAGATATTCATCAATACATTATTGGTTGAAAACTGGAAACAACTAAAATGCCCAACATCAAGGAATTGGCTAAAGTGTGAAACAGACACTAAATAGAACATTTTGTGACTCAGAATATTTTGGAGAAATGTATTTACTAACTTGAGAATAGTCACAACAAAGTGCTAAGCCCACTACAAAAGTACATGGGAATTATATGCATATTTTTAATAAAAGTATATGTGTATTAATACAATTTGGAAGATATCACCAAAATTTTAATAATGATTATTTCCAAAAGTAGGATAAAAAATCCTTTTCATTTTTTATTTTTCAGTATTTTCTAGTGTTACTGTATTGAGTGTGTAATACTTTTATGATATGTAAACAAGCCAACCCAATACACATAATGAATAAAAATGAATTTTTTTTGTCAAAGAATGATGTGAAAATGAAGAGTAAAATTATAATGAGAGAATTTTTAGCAGTTTCTGAGCTCAGTAAAACTACAGTTGACACAGGAACCCATAACTAGAACCTCTTTTCTTAAAAATTGTTTATTTGAGAATCATAGAAGAAGGGGGGAGACAGAGAAATAGAGAGAGATCTCATCAGTTGGTCCATTTCCTATATGCCCACAACAGCTGTGGACTGGGGCCATAGCTAGGAAATCAATCCAGGTCTCTCACATGAGTTGTAGGAACCAAGTTGCTCTAATAGTTACTGCTACCTCTCAGGGTCTGTTTTAGCAGGTATCAAATCTAGGTATTCCAATATAGGATGTGGGTGCTTAACCACTGAACTAAATGCTGGCTCTCAGAAGTGCTTTTAGGAAGCTGTCAAAGCATGAGTAAACATCAAAATGTATGCATGTGAATATCCATTTTTTTCCCAGAACCATTTATTGAAAAAAAAAAAAAACTGTCCTTTTTTTCCAGTGCATTTTTTTTTTTTTTGACAGGCAGAGTGGGCAGTGAGAGAGAGAGAGACAAAGGTCTTCCTTTTCCGTTGGTTCACCCTCCAATGGCCGCCACATCTGGTGCACCACGCGGATCTGAAGGCAGGAGCCAGGTGCTTCTCCTGGTCTCCCGTGTGGGTGCAGGGCCCAAGCACTTGGGCCATCCTCCACTGCCTTCCTGGGCCACAGCAGAGAGCTGGCCTGGAAGAGGGGCAACCGGGACAGAATCCGGCGCCCCGCCCAGGACTAGAACCCGGTGTGCCGGCGCCGCTAGGTGGAGGATTAGCCTATTGAGCCGCGGCAGCGGTCCCAGTGCATGTTCTTAGCACGTTTATCAAGGATCAGTTGGTTGAATATACTTGAGTTTACTTCTGGGGTGTTTATTCTGATGCATTGGTCATGGGTCTGTTTTTAGGACATTTCCATGCTACTATAATTGCTATAGATTAGTAATATACTTTCATATCAGATAGTGTGATGCCTGCCTCGTGTCCTGTTCTTCCCACTGAAAATTGCTTTGGCTATTTGGGGCCTTTTGTGGTCTCACACAAATGTTAGTAGTGTTCTTTCTAGCTCTCTGAAAAATGCCATCAGTATTTTAATAGAGATTACATTGAATATATAAATGGTATTGGGACATATGGGCAGTTTAATGATATTTATTCTTCCAATCCATGAACGTGGGGTGTTTTTCTGTTTCTTTGTATCTGTTTCTTTGTATCTTGCTTAATTCTTTAATCAGTGTATTATAATTTTCCTTTGTCAATATTATGTCTATTACAGTAGGCAAGGATTTAGCTTAATAATGCTGATTTGTATCTCCCTCCTCCCCTTCTCTACTGAAAATCACTCTTAGTTTTTTCATAGGTCAGTTTTGTGCCTCCCACCAATAATATTAAGACAACATTTTTTGTTGTATCATAATTGATAGTATATATTGATCTCTCACTATGAAAATAATGACATCAGTGTTTCTATACTTTTTTTTTTTATCTCTACCTTTCCTTCATCATTTCTATCTTAGGTCAGTTTCAACTTTTCTCTTATTTTGGCAAAGATGATATACATATATTTTGTTCACTTTTTCCAGAGCCTTGACTGGGATCATATGATGACTACACATCCTGTGAAAACTGTGCTTTTAATTCTAATGTCAACCCTGAAAGATGAAAAGGAGAGATTGTTTTAAGAATAATTTGTTTAGATGAGCATGCACTTACATAAGATTTTAAAATTTATTCTTGTAATTCCTAAAACTAATAATGCTAAAATGTTCTCCCTGTTTTGAAAACAATATAGTGCTTAAAATCTGTGGAAGTTTTTTATGTATATTTGAGACTTCACACAAACAGATTTTAGACAAAGCTTCATTTGTGTAGATGACTAGATATTTCTCTATATATGTTTTGATCATTGTATATACTTAGTGATGTATCTGGAGTAATGAGATAATTAGGTATCTACAAGATAGTGCTGGCACAAAATACACAGTCAGAAAATGTACATCAGTGAATTTCAGCAGGAAATAGTAGCTGAAAGAAACCATTTTATTTCAATATAAGGCTATTTAGTTTTTAACAGGCTAACTGTATCAAGCATGCCTATTTTTTGGGTCCTTAATTCTCTTCTTCAGCAACTATGATGTTTAGATTTAGATGAGTTTAGATTTAGAATTACCTCGAAACCCTATTAAATAGATATAACCTTGCTTGTTTTTCAGAGAGAGAAACAGAAGCCAAGAGAAATCCAATGCTTGGCCACAGAATCAATGCTAGTTCAGTGATGGAGCCTAGCTTCTCTCTCCGTGATGGCAGGATTCTCCAGACAAAAGGTACATTGAACCATTTGCCACCTTGAGAGGTCTTTTGGTTTATTTAATAAAAGAACAGTAAGAAAACAATCATATTTTTATAACTAACCCTCCAAAGGTATTCTTTTTATGCTTACCTGGACGATTGAATAACTCACTTCAATATCAGCTTCCCTTTATTTCAAGCCCATGCTACCTAAGAAAGACAGGCCAGTGAAGTACTTGTGGTGTTCAGAAAAGATTTTTATCAAAATATTGAGTTATTATTGCTGTGAAACTTGCCTGTCAGCATGATATTTTAAAAGCCACCTAATTGAGTAGAAGCATAGGCAGAGTGTAATTAGTCACCATCAGTTCAGCTGAAAGGGTGGCCATATCCTTTCGAGATTTGAGTCTGAAAACGCCAAAGCGTGAGCTGTCACAGCACATCATTGGACTGCTGTGGAGATGTTTGTTATTTTCATGTCTCTGAGCATCACTCTATTTCTCTGATCCAGGTATGGGTTTCCTTTTTTTCTGCCTATTCTTGACAATGTGAGGTCTTTAGATGCCAATCAGGCAGAATAGCCCAGTTCTGTCTCAGCAATGCTCAAGTCTGCTCTTAACACTATTGAGACTCATGCTGTGTCTCCATAATGCCCATGTTGTCCTGAGTCTCTTTGACCAAGATACTTTGCAACATGTTCCTTGTGCTGGGATTCCTGAAAGCATCTCCCCATTAAGGCACACCAACCTCTCTCACTCATTGGTTTTAAGCTATAACTTAACATAAAATTATTTCTTCTTAAAATCCTATACTTTCAACAGCATTCCTCTTGTCATTCAATTTTGGCCCCTGGAAGGTCAGCTCCCGATGTTGAAAGAAAATTTCTTAGATTTAGATTAAATAGACATGGTTTTATGTAACTAACAATTGAAATCAATTAGGATGACGTGCCTTAAGTTGTTCTTGACACAAAATTAAGCCCTCAACAAATTTTAGTTTGTCTGTCTTCTACTAAGTTCAGATGCAGTGCTAGGTGTGTATGTGTGTGTGTTTGTGATGTTGCTGTTGTTACTGTTTTGGTTTTCTTTAAACATGCTCAGAAATCATTGAATTCTCTAAGGATGTATTGCTTGCCTAGATTTCTGACTAGATTAAGCTATTTGTATGTATCTATAAATATCTATGGATATGAAAATATATGAGCCTATCTACATATATGTATGTCTATCTATGTATTTATAGGTAGCTAGATATATACCTACTAGATATGTATGTAATACATAGATATCTATGCCATCCATTTGTATAGATATGTTTGCAAGTACAATTTTGTACTGGACTTCTGAATAGTAGTTGGAAATGATTCGAGTCCCAGACTCCTCTTCACTAAGGTGTTGGTCACAATTAAGTCAAGAGCCCCTCTGCTGGTACAGTCTGTGTCCCCTTCAGAAAATGGTTTGACCTGGTATTTTTGCTACAATTAATTACAAAATGTTGTTATATTTTCTGTACGTATATGATCTTTGTGTAGTGTATTTTTCCTATCTACAAGTTAATAATTGATTTATGGTATTTATAATAGCGCATATGAAATAAAGGTGATGGATTGTATTAAATGAATTATCACATATAAAATACCTGAAGGGAGTGCTGGGTATATTATAAGAATCATCTCGGCATTAAGATTCTGACTGCTTGCATTCTGATTCCAACTTTGCTACTTCCTAGCTCTTCCATCTGTGACAATAGAAGTAGCTCATTGGGTATTATGAGGTTAAATGCATTAAATTATTCTAATGATCTGAGTATCACCTAGCCCCTAGAAATGTTGATATTTAGCTGTATTTTATCAATAAATTAGAATTACTGTTCTTTTTAAAATGTGTATAAAGAAAACAGATTTCACATATATATTTTAAAACTTTGCATTTAGCTGTAGAGTCTAAGTAGGAGTCCTTTCCCTGATTATCCGGGCTCTCCTGTGAAAGGTAATTAATCCAAGAATCTACAGTCATCTTATATTTGACAAAGGAGTTAAAATAAATCTCTGGAGTAAGGACAGTCTCTTCAACAAATGGTGTTGGGAAAACTGGATTTCCACATGCAGAAGTATGAAGCAAGACCCCTACCTTACACAAAAATCCTCTCAAAATGGATTAAGACCTAAATCTATGACTTGACACCATCAAATTATTAGAGAATGTTGGAGAAACCCTGCAAGACACTGGCATAGGCCAAGACTTCTTGGAAAAGACCCCAGAATCACAGGCAATCAAAGCCAAAAGTAGCAAGTAGGATTGTATCAAATTGAGGTGCTTCTGTTCTTTAAAAGAAACAAACAGCAAAGTGAAGAGGCAACTGACAGAATGGGAGAAATTATTTGCAAACTAGTCAACTGATGAAGGATTAATAACCAGAATATATAAAGAGATCAAGAAACTCAACAATAACAAAACAAACAGTCCAGCGGAGAAATGGGCAAAGGACTTAAACAGATGTTTTTCAAAAGAGGAAATCCAAATGGCCAACAGACACATGAAAAAATGTTCAGAATCACTAGCCATCAGGGAAATGCAAATCAAAACCACAATGAGGCTTCACCTCACCCCAGTTAGAATGGCTTTCATACAGAAATCAACTAACAACAAATGCTGGCGAGGATGTGGGGAAAAAGACACCCTAATCCACTGTTGATGGGAGCGTAAACTGGTAAAACCACTAGCGAAGACAGTATCTGAATATATACCTACCATATGATCCAGCCACCCCACTCCTGGGAATTTACCCAAGGGAAATGAAATCAGCATATGAAAGAGTTATCTACACCCCCATGTTTATTGCAGCTCCATTCGCAATAGCTAAGACATGGAATCAACCCAAATGCCCAACAGCTAAAGACTGGATAAAGAAAATATGGGATATGTACACTATGGAATACTACACAATGGTAAAAAAAATGAAACCCAGTCTTTTACAACAAAATGAATGAATCTGGAAAACCTCATACTTAGTGAAATAAGCCAGTCCCAAAGGGACAGATACCACATGATCTCCCTGAACTGTGATAACTAACAGAACTCTGAAAAGGCAATCTGTAGAAGTGAAATTGACATTTTAAGAAGCAATGACTTTAACAGCCCTTGTCTTGACTGTTGAGAAACAGTTTTTTATACTATTTGATGAATTCTTTAATTAGCATATGTATATATTAAATATATATATATATATATATATAAAGTCTATTGAAAATAGACCTCAGTAAAAAATAAGAGTGGGAATAAGAGAGGGAGGAGGAAGTGGGGTTGGGAGTATGGGTGGGAGGATGGGCACAGTGGGAAGAATCACCATGTTCCTAAAGTTGTAATTATGAAGTGTAAGAAGTTTGTAACTATAAAGCTGTATATTTCTGCTATATTTCTACAGACTTACTTCTAAGGGTACGATTTAAAAACTTGCATTGGATCGGACTTGCCCCAAATGGTGGAGTTAGAAACGTGCCAGGGGATTCCAATACAATCCCATCAAGGTGGCATGTACCAATGCCATCTCACTAGTCCCAGTGATCAATTTCAGTTCACAATTGATCACACTGATAGGTCTAAGAGTCAAAGGGATCACACAAACAAGACTAGTGTCTGCTAATACTAACTGATAGAATCAAAAAGGGAGAGAACGATCCATCATGGGAAACAGGATACACAGCAGACTCATAGAATGGCAAATGTCCTACCTAGCACTCTGGCCTCAGAATCAGCCCTTAAGGCATTTGGATCTGGCTGAAGAGCCCATGAGAGTATTTCAGGCATGGAAAGCCAAGACACTCAGGCAAAAAAAAAAAAAAAAAAAAAAAAAAAAAAAAAAACTAAATGAAAGATCTCTGCGAGTGAGATCACAGTGGAAAGAACGGGGCCATCAAAGAAGGAAGTACCTTTCTCTGAAGGGAGGAGAGAACTTCCACTTTGACTATGACCCTGTCGGAATAAGATTGAAGTCGGCGAACCCAAAAGGCTTCCCTAGCCTTGGCAACTCATGACTAGAGCCTAGGGAGATTACTGACGCCATAAACAAGAGTGTCAAATTGTTAAGTCAACAACAGGAGTCACTGTGTACTTACTTCTCATGTGGGATCTGTCCTTAATGTGTTGTCCAGTGTGAAGTAATGCTATAACTAGTACTGAAACAGTATTTTACACTTTGTGTCTCTGTGTGGGTGCAAATTGATGAAATCTTTACTTAATATATACTAAATCAATCTTCTGTGTATAAAGATAATTGAAAATGAATCTTGATGTGAATGGAATGGGAGAGGGAGTGGGAGATGGGAGGGATGCAAGTGGGAGGGAAATTATGGGGGGGCAGCCATTGTAATCCATAAAGTGTACTTTGGAAATTTATATTTACTAAATAAAAAAAAAAACCAAAAAAATAAAATCTTGCATTGGGACCCCAAACCCCCTTAAGCTGGGTGTTAAAAATACAGTCTTAAGTATTAGTGATCATATGGATAAGATTAAGTGTCTGGTAATAATAGAATTAAAAAAGAATGCTCCAACATGGGAAGCAGTCCACACAGCAGAGTCACAGAATGACAATTGCTTTAAATAGCACTCTGACCTCAGAATCAGCCCTTAAGGATTCTGGTCTGGCTGAAAAACCCACAAGAGCATTTCAGGCATGAAAAGGCAAGACATTGTGGTAAAAAATGTCCTACATGAAGGATCTCTGTAGGTGAGACCCCAGTGGAAAGAAATGGTCATCAAAGAAGGATGTACTTTTCTCTGAAGAGAGGACAGAACTTCCACTTTACTTATGGCCTTGTGTAAATGCTGACAGAGTTTGTGGATTCAAAAGGCTTCCACAGCCTAGGCAGCTCATATCAAGAGCTTTGGATGGTCACTGATGTGATACATGAGCATGAATTGCTAAATTAATAACAAGTGTCACTGTACTAACTTCCCATGGAGGAACTCTGTCCTCAAAGAGTTGTGTTATAACTATGTCTAAGTGCTCCCAAAAGATATATCATTCTTGGGTG